CCACCTCAAGCTTTAACGATGGTCCCTTTTTTGTGTACAAGTGGGGGCAAGGGGGAGCTTTCCAGTCCACTAAGTATGAAAGAAAACTACATACTCTGAATACTCTAACTGAAGTGAAGGGGGGGGAGGCGGGGAAGGCTTAATATTTATTTTCCTCCATCCGATGACTTTAGAAATGTAAAAATTGAGAATGCTGGAGTTTACACTATTAGAGCTGTAAAAATAATTGGTTCATAGATTTACAGAAAAGTGAGATGCTTGCATACTAAGATACACTGTGCATACATATAGCCACACTTCTAAGCTGTTAATAAATCCATAAAGTTAATAAAGAACTACAGCAGTTTAGTTCTTCAAGCCCCGCTACTTGTTTGGCAAGTCCCTGCTACAGCACAAGTGATAGTTTAACTCAGGCAGGGGAAACTGGGGAAGAAGTTAGTTGTAGGAGAAGCATATGAATGAAAAGCACAGAAAAAGGACATAGTCAGTTTTTTTGTGACAGGGAAAGCAACTAAAAAAAAAAAGAAACTTACAGTGGTGAACTCCAAACATGCAAGAATCTGCTGTCCCAGTCCTGTTTACACCCAAACAGTGACTTCATTAAAACAATTAATATGCTAATTGTGAAGTGGTTTCTCTAAAGGAAGAGAAGTAAAGCCACCTAGAAGAGAGAGTGCAGGCAAGAAGGCAGGGAGATTACAGAAGCAAGCAAAACTACTACAGCTGTGCTTAAGGCTGCAATGTGATACTGAATCACACCCTGTAGTAATTATCACAAAGCAAGTTAACTTTCCTCTGGGTCTTCTACTGTTAAAAAAGTAGAAGTTCATTTTCTTCTTGTAAACATAATTTCTTCTATAGCAAGTTAACAGTTTTTATGAAAAGCAACTGTCAAAGCCAGCCTTTTTGCTTGATGTATTGTTTCTAGTGTCTTTCCAAAAGACAGCAGTCTTTTTCCTTTTGACACGCCAATTATGTCAGGAGTTCAATTAAGAGCATACTGTCAGAAATATGACCACAACAACTTTATTCAGTCTCATATTTGAGTTCTAACATCATAATTTTCACTTGTGATACATGGAACCCTTGAGAAGTACATATATTGATTGCTGGATGGCACAACAAGTTTTTAAGCACACCACAGGCTCTTCAATTTCAAACCAGCAACCTCTAGGCTGTTTATAAATCAGTTTCTCAGCAGCACTACAGGAATGGGAAGGATGGACAACTGAGTGCAGATAGAGTTATCTCACCATCTGCATTCTTCCTTTGGGAAGAAGGATAACATTTCACTAGCATAACTTTGATTGTACTAACAAAACTTTCCAGCCTCAGCTCAGAACTGCTT